CAAACTCATGAAACAGCGTTCTAGGCTGAACTTACGAGCACATTTCTTTATTAACAAGGCAGTGGATAATTGGAATAGGCTACCGTCGGAACTGATTATGCGGTCAAGTTTTCAGGCCCTAGAAAAGCTCTGACCGCCAGGTGGTTGGAGCTTCTCCATGACATAGAATGTCAGTGCGTAAATTGCTTTTGCGTAATGTGGAATGCTTCAACAACAAAGGTCTCTCGCCGACACGGCAAGAAGTAAAGTCTCTCTTTCTCTCTGTTCGCAGATAGAATGAGAAACCGATCAATCGCAGAGGTGGACGCACACTCGAGGGCATACCACCTAAGGAATTCTGGACGCGTGATTGGCCTGTGGCCGTTATCAGTCCTGTGCAACCTGACCTGACCTGACCTGATTGGTACGAGAAGGAAACGCGCATAACTACAAAATGTCTTGAAGTCTTGAAGTGACTCTCTCGGGTTCGAGACTAGCGCCCAATGGTCCCGGATCCTTGAGGAACACTCGCAGTGGTAGGGGTCAAAACGTGGCTTACTACCGAAGGAACTCTGGACGCTCGATTGGCCGTGACCATCTCCTGTCCTGTGCAAACGGACTGACTGGCTGAATGAACGACTGACTGAATGAGTCTTACAGGACGCTCAGAAATCGCTGCACAACGCTCCAACACGAGGACAGAAGGCTCTACCAGCTTCAGCTATGCGGGAAAGCAAGGCAAAATCCTAAACTGCTCTATCGACACAGCCCAGACTAGGTCAGTTACTACTGGCATCATGGAAATAAAAACGGGAAATACTGGAAGTTCCTCAAACGTAGAAGCCGCAGGAGCATTAGCAATACACTTCGAAACCGTATTTGAAAGCGACTCACTATACGCGGAACAAAAGCCAGCTGACTCTGCTTCGCTTACTCCAATCGAAATACTCTCTATCATACATTTTGACAGAGCCACCATCGAGGCTAAACTGAGTCATCTCCGCCCGAACATATCTCCGGGTCCGGATAGCATACAGGCGGTACTTCTCAAAAACTGCGCAGGGGTTCTAAGTGCTCCCCTCGAACAACTGTTTACGGCCTCCATGAACACTGGAAAACTCGCACGTGATTCTAAAGCCAGTATTGTAACTCCGATATACAAATCGGGATCCCGCACAAACCCTGAAAACTATCGTCCGGTAGCCCTTCTTTCCATAATTTCAAAAGTAATCGAAAGCATAATAGACGATGGAATAAGAGAATTTCTTAGAGTCTCGATTTTCCTCAACGCGCAGCAGCACGGATTCCCCAAAGGCCGGTCGTGCTTAACAAACCTCCTAGCCGCGACAGACGATTGGACCAAAGAAGCAGACATGGGGAACAGTGTAGATNGTGCTCCCCTCGAACAACTGTTTACGGCCTCCATGAACACTGGAAAACTCGCACGTGATTCTAAAGCCAGTATTGTAACTCCGATATACAAATCGGGATCCCGCACAAACCCTGAAAACTATCGTCCGGTAGCCC